CGAATGATGCCTGAATCCCGTTCGTTAGTGAACTAGCCCCGATGAGGGCGGGGGTGAATTTTAGATTAGTTCCTGTGTCCAAGCTCACCTCCTCTCCAGAAGTCTAGTTTGGCAAATTCTCGTCAGGCCTTACATTTATATGGAAACTGGTTGCAAGTTCAACATTGTTCGTCTTTTCGGACAAGTGAGTCGTGGGAATTGGGGTAGGGTCGATAGGCGAAGGCTGATTGTGAAGGTAGGGTTTAAGTTCAGCGATGATACCCATTTAAGCATTCATGAAGTCAAGATAGGCGAAGTTACATTGGTCGAACAACTAGGCGGCTATCCAAACGTATGCGGGAACACCATCCTGCCTGGCTAAACAAAGGCGAGGTGAAGTCAATATCTAGTGCGATTTTGGTTCACTTGGTTGACAGCGGTCACCGGGTAGAAGTAAACCAAGCGTTTCGAGTCTTGTATAAAGTGCCAGCGAAACACTCCAAGTTCTCTGCGTCAACGGATAATTGCGACGGCAGCAGCCGTGGCCACACGACTCACAAACCCGATCTTATGTGCGCAGAAGGCCTTTGTAGTGGCCCTACGGCTCCCGTGGCCGAGAACAAACTCAACATCCCTCCGCATACCTTCTAGCACGCCGCGAGATTATGAGCAGACAGTGACAACTGGTGTCAAGACGCCGCGGAGCGACGAGACAACCAGTTGATATGAACTAATTGTGGGGCACGTCCCTCCTCTCCCCTGCCCCATTTGATCTCTTAACAATCCCCCCCTCCCCCCTTAAATACCGCTGATGGAAGGTAGGGTTTGATGGAGCAGTCTAGGGAGGAGGGGAGGGGGAGACGGGGGGACGGGCGGAGGGAGACAAACATAGCGTGGATGACTGCATGCCGCAAGTGACTGTGGGCCACGCCAACTGTGGGGTTGGTAGGAAGTTATTTTGAGCACACAACGCGGGCCTAATTAGCCTGATAGCGGTTGCTTCTGCTGCTGCTAGCAGGCGCTGACCCAGGGACTTCGGATAGTTTGGTGGGACCCTGCAGATCACTCGGAAAGCTTCGTTGGGGTCCACCCGATGTCTGGAATCGACCATGTGCGCCAGAATAGGGCTGTTTATGCTCCTGACTTCACCTTTTCTCAGCTATGTCGGGAGGTGTTCCTTTATTCTTCTGAATAGGCGCCGGCTCGTGCGACCAATAAAATCTGCTCCACAGGAACAAGTGAATGAGTAGATGCACATGTTGTTACCTCCTACCGTTTGAACTTAATCCACGCACAACTTGTGGGGTACTAGCGGTCTACAAGTTTTCCCCACTATACTTCAATTCACCCAAAGTGACTGGGTCGTGGACAAAGATGCCAAAAAATATCCGCCATCAGTCGCCTGCATTTTGCCGTCAGCTGCAGTTTGTACTATTTGGTACAGGAATGAAGGACGGACCCCGTAGCGGAGGGGCAACACAGTTTTTTGCTTCAATTCTGTCAAAATTCCCACTTGGCGAGTTCTACGAAGACAATCCGCTGACGATAGCATTCAGCAAATTTTCATCAAGTCTGTAAAAGGGCAAACATGTTTTTTGCTAATCCCTCCCTTTTCACCTTTCGCGCCCTACGAGGCCTAATTAAGTTCG